TTATGCACGTGCAATGCATGTGGTTAAATACCATGATTAGGTATTTTTTGTTTACTTTCTTACTAAAATTTATTCATCGGTTACTCTTTGATAATATTTTTTGCTCACTTTGATTAAGTATTTTGGTTTATTTGTCTTCATCGAATCCATGAATACCACGGGTGCATTATTCAACCCAAATGACATGACCAGAAACTCAAAAGATTCATATCGAATCAGAAAAAAAAACGGTTTTGGGAAAATTCATCTCCCGAACTCGCAATTACAAAACCCCAAATCGAAGATCAATCTCCGAGAAATATTACGCTTCGCGCAGCTGATTGAACAAGTCATTAGTCCTATCAAATCCGGATAGTGAACTTGTTCTCAACATAAAATCTACACAAAATCATAAGTTACCATCCTCATTCTCCCGAAGAGGGTCAGTGCTCCCATAAATAAAAAGATACTCCAGTGAATAATACCCTAAAATAATAACTCATTTATCTAATTCTATCTGTAGCTCTCTCATCTCAACAGGTGCCATACGATAGGGTGCTCAGGATATCGGCACTGTGCTCGGCTGCAACTCGATGTAGGAAACAACCTAGCTCTCTCACTGGAGGAAATCTAGTCATGTCCTGAAATACATCCTGACACTCTAAAAAACTCCGGTCTCGCACAAATCAGCACTCCGATCCCTCAGCATCACCTACTCGATGTATACCAGAAATGACTCCATATTTCGGTCACCCCGTGAGGTTGCTACTCACAAGCTGATTGTTTCAGTAAAACAGTTGATACTAACATAGTATGATGATAGCTAATCCATACCAAGAATGATGTTGAGATTTGACATCAACAACACGATCAACTCGATGGTATGATGATAGCTAATCCATACCAAGAATGATGTTGAGATTTGACATCAACAACACGATCAACTCGATGACTAACTCAGACTCATCTAGTTTGATAATTGATGTTGAGATTTGACATCAACAACACGATCAACTCGATGACTAACTCAGACTCATCTAGTTTGATAATACATCTCCTACAGATAGAAGGGACACCCCCCTTAGGAGTAGATACTGACAACGAAATATCTAAGGAATGTACCACAAGCTGAAACCTATCAACGAAGGTATAAAAGATAAGAGATAAGCGAATTTCTTAAATCATACTAGGTTCGAACTGAAAAGGAAATCACGAATAAAGCTCCGCTCGTACCCTGATCACGCGGTACAGCTGAATAGACTCTGTTGGATAATGCAAATCTCCTGGGTTCTCTTCAAACCCTCTAAATATAGAGTATACCATTGGAGATGCTCTAATAGTGCTATTACATCATTTATCTTTGGTAGTATCTTTAAGAATTGTCACGCCCCGCTTCCCAAAATATCCGGGAATCGGAACGTGAACAAGCCCGCGACGTATTAGATTGAGAAGAAATATACACTATTTTTTTCTTTTCTTTTCTTCTCAATCCAATACGCTAAGCGTCTAAAAATAAATACAATACGAAGTCACAGGTCCCCGATCACAATAGCAAGAATATAAAGACAACTCAGGATAAGGAATAGACATATCATTAATAGTAAATCACCCCAGACATAAAATATGGGTCCAACATACCCTTATTACAAAATAATCCAACTAGGAAATAAGAAATACATAGTCCATAAAGAAAATACTGTTAAAATACTAAGTCTAACATCAACTAAAGAAAAGTACGGTAAAAGAATTTTAATGTCCAACTACTACTACGGAAGAAAACTACTACACTTCAGCTGGTCTTCTACTCCTTCTGCAAGACACCCCTGCTAAGAATCATCTGGCTCCTGTACGATTCTGAACTGAGGTTGTCCATCTCCTAAATCTGACGTACAGCCAGAAAATAGGAGTACATCAGCATGTATAACACACGGAAAGATCCCCCAAGGCAGAAATAAATACAATAACAGTAATGATAATATATGCGTGGTCAATGCGATAACAGAAATAGAAATAGAACATGTGATGATAGTAATAACGATAGAGGCATGCAACTGGAATACTAATAATCAGAAGAATCCAAAAATCAACCAAGTAAGAAGATCATGCAGGTAGCGATCAGAAACCATCCAAGCAACAAGGTTATACAATAGATGGAATTAATACTTAAAAATCTACAACTCGAGATGTAGTACGTCGAGCGAAATAATCCAAACAAGAAAACCCTCATGTATATACCACATGTCTCGAATTGTAAATAATTAAATATTAACCCCGATTTATGTATGGAAAGAAATACAACTGATCTACGTCTCACAAGAATCATACTTAGCCAAGAATCTAAGTCATGTAACTAGCCATCCTACAACAGGTCACTGGCTCATATTATCGGATAACTGATAGATCGCAATCACAAATTTCCCAACTCCTCAGACCCATCCCGGTGACTACACAAACTTCACCGGTGCGAGCCCGGAATACACAAATATCTCAACTCATCAGACCCACCCCGGTGACTACATAA